GAGCGACCATATTTTACTTTTCTCACGCCTTATATAAACGATCACTGCACCCCAGTGTATTTCTGAACGTTTATACTCGAGTTATTTTAATTTCACACTGATGTACTTTATCAAAGTATTCATCTCGGCAGACGTTCGGTAGATGACCCAGATATATTTTGATTTCATCTTATTCACCCTAACTATCCTACGGGACGTGCCAATCACTTGCCTTTATCCTGTGATAAATCATTGTTCATTGTTCAAGCAGAAGGAAAACTAATCTTTCAGACGTACTGGCTAGTGAACTCGTCTACCTGACCTAGTCGACTTCTGCGGTTCGGGTGACGATGTTGTCGAGTTACGCAGTATGTCGTATCGCGTGGTTGTGGGAGTGGATGATCATTTGCCGCCCGACTCGATGGAAATCGAATGAGCTGATGTAGAAGACTCAGATGGATTGTTCTTCTTGGAGTCAGTACCGTTAGGAAAGGACGTATCTTCCGTCATAGGCTGCGTCGATTCGTCGGAATATGAGCCGACATGGTTGTCGAGCTCAGCATCCATATGGGCGTCCTTGAGGGGGTCAATGGTAACGGCTTCACGTTTTTGTCGTATCGGTCGATGATACATACACAATCTTTATGTTGTAGAACTTTGAAATGACCTTCCTAAATTCGTTAATGTGGTCTAGGGAGACTGTCAACATGAAGGAAAAGAAACGGGCGGTGCCGAAGATCTTGAGGCACGAATGACTTAAGCTGTTGTTTTCTGGTGTAAGTAAGCTTGACCTGACGCATGATCTTGGCTAGCTGCTGAGCGTAGTTTGCGTCATGACGGGGAATACTGAATCACTCGGAAAAGAAATCACCAGATAAACATAGGGGCTGTCCATTTACCATTTCGGCGCTGGATGTATGCAGATCGGTCTTGAGGGATGATCGGATGCCAAGGAGTATCGTGGACAGATCTTCAGCACAACTCAAAGTCTTGGCGGCGCTGAGTGAAGCCTTCGGCTGTCAGTGGAAACGTTCAACCATGCGGTTCGCCTGTGGTTGATAGGCGGTAGTACGAATGCGTCGGCATCCGATGACCGTAAGATGTCTGAAAGTCGAAGGTTCGAATTGCGTATCGCGGTTGATAGTCACTGTGGCTGGACAGCGATGTGAAGTGACCCAGCGGTCGACAAAAGCGCATGTAACGGTTTCCGTAGCTAGGTCAGGAATGGGGACGGCTTCGGGCCAACGGGTGCGACGATTGATCATTGTCAAAATGTAGACCATTGCTTCGGACAGGGCCAACGGTCCGACTAAGTCGAGATGGACATGGGCGAATCGAGTTGAAATGGGCGGGAAGTGATTAAGTGGAGCGAATACTTGCCGGTGGATCTTGGCTTGTTAGCACGTGAGCCAAGTGCGTGCCCAACTCGTAAAATCACTTCGCTTACCACGCCAAGAATATCGACCGGATCTGAGTTTGACCGTGGCTTTAGAGCCTGGATGAGCAATGTTATGGAGCGTATCGGCGAAAGATTTCAGGAACGACGGTTCGAAGTCGTCTTGTGGAAGTGTCACCTAATACTGCACCATCGGATGACTGCACGGGGTGTAGGGTTATCTTTAAGGAGGAATCGGAAAGCTCTGTAGAACTCTGATCAGTTGATTGCGCAGCTGCCATGGCCAATAGATCAATTACCTGCTGGGTGGGGCTTATTTCAGACACTCTCGGTAGAGCATCAGCGACAACATTCTGTTGACCAGAAACGTGTCGAATATCGGTCGAAACTGGACAATGAAATCCAGCTGACGAACCTCACGCGTTGAGTGTCGAGCTGAGTGACTTCAAAAGCGAAAGTTAATAGTTTATTGTCGGTGAAGATGACGAAGTGATTACCGTCGAGGTCGTGTCGGAAGTGCCGGATCGTCGGGTAAACAGCCAGCAGTTCTCGGCTGAACGTACTGTATTTAAGTTCCGCTGGTTGCAAGCGTGTCGAGTAGAAAGCAAGTGGCTTCCAACATCCATTAGTCATCTGCTGTAAGCCCTCGCCAATAGCGGCACTCGATGCATCGACCGCAAAGCTAGACGGCGCTTTGGCATCAAAATGATGAGGCATAACTGAGGCGGCTAAAGCATCTTTACTGGCATTAAAAATTTCAATAGCGGCGGGTATAAGTTCTACATCCCCGTTCTTGTGACCACGGAGTAGGTCGGTCAACGGGCGGAGTAGATCAGCGCAATGCGGAAGAAATCGTCAATAGTAATTGATCATGTCGTTAAAACTGCGAATAGTAGCTACCATGTTCGGAAGCGGAAAGTCTCGGATAGCTAGGACCTTGTCGTCTAAAGGTCGTGTGCCATGTTGATCAATGCGATGACCAAGGAATTCCATAGACGGCTGCTGAAAGGTACACTTGTCTGGAATGACAGCGAGTCTTTCAAAGAGGATTTTGAAGTGCTCTCGAGGTGCTTCCTCGGATACCCTGACTACCAATATATTGTCGATATAGGAATAGACAAAGTCTAATCCACGGAAGACGGAATCTATAAATCGCTGAAATGTTTGCCTTGCGTTGTGCAAACCGAATGGCATGTGAATAAATTAGATGAAACCAAAAGGTCTGATAATAGCGGTTTTATCTATGTCTTCGTCGGCGATCGGGATCCGGTGGTAAGCGCGTACCAGGTCAGTTTTCGAGAACACAGGGGCACCTCGCAGGTTAGCCGTTATTTCTTGAATGTGCGGTTTGGGGTACCGGCCAGGAACGGTTAGGTTGTTCAGCGCGCGGTATTCGCCACATGAACGCCAGTCTGACTTTTGAGGCACCATGTAAAGCGGCGACGAAGGTCTTCGAAAGTCTAACTATACCTAGTTCGAGCATGTGCTCGAATTCGACTTTGCGATACAAAGTTTATTCAAGCCAAGCCATCTGGGCTTAGCGAAAACAGGCGATCTTTTTGTAAGGACATGATGTTTCGCGGCATCGGTTGCTGCGGACATCGGAATGACAGCCCGAGAGACCTGTGGAAAACGGTCGAGGAGCATTTGTCCGATGGTGGGCTCATCTGAGTCGCGTACACAGGACTGATTGACTCAGTATTGGTCAAAGTCCCAATGACAGAGAGACTCGTTAAAAGGTCGAGGAGACGGTGTTGCTTTGTATCTATAAGCAAGTCATCGTGATGCAGAAAATCGCGTCCGAGGAAGGGTGTTGGAACGTCTACAACGAGGACTACCCATTTAAAAGATCGTCTTAATTCAAGTTTGAGGGTTCGCGAACGTTGACCATACACTCGAATGATGGTACCGTTGGCTGTGCGAAATGAGCTAGTCACTTTCAGTAGCGTCAGTGGGATCGCTAATTTCTACGCTTGTGTAAACGAGGTAGCGTAGTCCCCTTTTCTGGACGGTAAAGAAGACAAAGCGACTGCGATGACCAGCGTGCTAGTCGGTCCGTTTACCTGTATTTGGCGCTTAAAGGAACAATGGGAACGGAATGATCTGACTTGCGGACCATATCGCTTGTAGTACCAGCAATAGGATGGTCTATGTGGGACATCGAAGAGGATCGAAAAAGGGGTCGGCTTTTCGGACAAGATCGACGTTTAGATACGGAAACTGAAATGTCTTCGAGTCGTTTATTTAGCTCGGCCATCTGCATCCTGAGTTCCGCCAACTCCGCATCAGAAGTCGATTAGACTTGCGAAACTTGGGCGTAAGCTTCCCAGATACGGTCAGTGGTGTCAGTTAACAGGGACAGTGGAGCATCGCCATTAGCGGAAAGCGTGTGACACATTTCACGGGCTAGTTGTTGTAACCACACCTCCCGGAAAAATCGTCATCTATAGAGGTGGGTTTTGCTGGGCTCTGCCTTTCTCTTAACAAGTGTGATAGCATGAGAACACCGAGTTACGTTTCGCTTAAGAGTTTTGTTACTCTTTATCGGTCGGACGAGCTTGTCCTTCACAGAACCGCGGCTTTAATCATTATATAATTTTGCTAATCCTCGGACTGATCTAGAACGTCATTCAGGTGGTTGATAACATGCGGAGGCAGTGCGGCTACGACATGGTGCAATTTAATGTAACCGGACTTAATACGACGTAAAAGGTACTGCGATTCTATCTGCGAGAACCAGGCATTAAGATTAGTCACGCGAAAAGGAGATAAACGGAGACTAACGGTACTTCCTGGGCGTCAGAATCTGGATTTATAACCTCTATGGCGAAAGTTATTGAGCCCGCAGGATGTAAACCCAAAATTAGAAGTTTAGAAAATTAGAAATGTAGACGAAAAATGTATCCTAATCTGAAAAGAAAAGTTAGTAAAATACTCATCAACTGTAAGCGCAGCACCGAGTATACGTCGGGTGTCACCAAGTATAGCGCGTTGCTCTAACGATATATCCGATACGCAGATTTAAATGGCCAACCAAAGGCATGCGGCAGAACACACTGAAATAAGCTAGAAAAATGTTTATTAAAAGGTTGCTAAATCTTAAGACTAAGTATAAGGCACCGGAAAATAACTAGTTAGGGAGTATGTGGTAGGGTGCTGAGTGCGCTCGAAGAACCGACGTTCTTTTCGAAGCTCGCGGACAAAGTCCGGATGTTGGCGGTGTGTCTCATTCAAACAGGTGCATCATGGTTGGCGGTATCCGGTTTCGGATTTGCCTGCCGCTGTGGCCAGCCACAGCACGCCTGCGCCTACAGAGGGACCACGGGTGGCTTGCGCTGCACCACCCACAGCTCCAACCACACACCCATATCCAGTGTAAACCCGAAGGAATAAGACCGGGAGGCATGTGAATGGGAGCCACGTTTCATCAACGGAGCCGGCCCACACTCCTGCACATGCAAACACAAGCACGCTGTATTTGGGAAATCAAGCGCACACAAGGCGGTTGCCCGACCGTAGTCCGCTCCACACTGAGTGCATGGAACTACTCTTCGTGCCTAGCACGGCCACAACGACCGTGCACCCCGTCCCCTCCAGCAACGACCAACTGTCTCCTGGAGCCAGTATGGACGAAGTAGTGGGTGATAGACAGGTAGGCACCTTGTCAAACTTATAGTCTTACGTCCGTGGCTGAGATGTCCCTCCGCTCATCACAAGATAAGCGTGGGAGGTGAACGGTCAGGGGGAGGGGGGGTGGGGGGGGTGGGGGGAACCCACGCAACAGCCTCACCACACGCCCCCGCGGGGGGGGGGGGGGGGGGGGGGGGGGGGGGGGGGAGGGGGTATCACACGGGAGTCACCAGTGGGGGGGGGGGGGGGGACCAACACAAATATAATAGGGGGGGGGGGGGGCTAAAAATTAAACATGATAGCCCATGGAATCTCCCGCACAACGAGGAATAATTAAAAAGGGTGGGGGGGGGGGGGTTTTGGTAGTTTGAATATTAATTAGAATGGGGGGGGGGGGGGGGGGGGGGGGGGGGAAAATAAAAAATTAATATATATATATTAAAAAGTAAAATATATTAATAAATGAAATTATTGGGGGATTTGGGGGGGGGGTTGAATAAGTTGGGGGGGGGGGGGGGGGGGGGGGGGGGGGGGGGGGGGGGGTTGGGTTAAATGGGTTTAAAGGGGGGGGGGGGATTGGATTGAAAATGATGATAGTTATAAACATTTTATAAGTGTGTTTATTTAAAAAATTAAATAGTGTTAGTGTAAGTGAAAGAATGGGTTTGGATAATTATAAGATTTATTTGATTATGGGGGGTGGTAATAATTAAATATTATTGTTAAGAATGTTAAGGGGGGGGGGGTTATATTTAGAGGTTTAAATGGATTTTTTATTGATAAAAAAATAGTCAATACACCCATTTTCACATTTGTGTACCTCTGAATTACAAGATCAAGTTATTTCGCTGTCTGTACCATCGCGCAAAATCCATCAGCAATCCGGAGAGGATTGAAAGTGAAACGAAGCTGTGATGATTGTGCATACAATACTCAATGATTAATTATTCTTTTTCGTTTGCGCCAATGGACTAAATATATATACTCCCGAAATTCGAATTCCAATTCGATGTTCTTACTGCGTGTCGAAACTAGCTTGGTTGGAGCCTAATTCTATTTCGATTCCGAACCTATATTAATTAGCGTCGTGCTCAGCTTTTATTCCAAAATGAATATAACTATCGAATCACTAAATGTTAATGCATCTCCCTGGAAAGATTCGAGCTATGGTGATACACAAAAGGTTGATTGATTTCATTCCTCAACTTCAGTCTTAAGCTTCAGCTTGTGTATTTGAGGAGAAGCTTGATGAAAACTTGAGAGATCGTTTAATTGCTGACATAAACAACCCCGATTTATATCGCCAGCTCTTATCGCTTCCAGCACCGACTTATAACCAAGTGAAGTCCATCTGTTTGCACTAGCAGGATATTCCTGAGGTCACAAAATCCCAGATGACTGTTGTTGATCAACACGTTTTGTTTGGCTCAACCAAGAGCCGAGTTCATCTCGAAACGAGAAAACAGTGGCATTATAACGTATTTAAACCTTACAGCATTACTCAATCTCAAGGACAGAAAAATTCAGAGTGCAGCATGGTCAAGTCGACAAAAAGATTGGAAAATGTGTTTCTTGTGGAAAGCTGCATTCCCAGTATACTGGCCTAAACCGGAATTATAAATGCCCTCAATATGGCAAAGTCAGAGATCTCCGCAGTGTTTGTCGTTAAATCAAGCGTTGTTATATAATGAAACAAGCTGATGATCTCACTGATAACTCGCAACGGGATTTCCATTCGTTAACCATGGCTGTGAATACAGGTGATCACTTATCCAATACCCTACGCTCTTTATGTGAGCTGTAAACTTGACGTTTTGGAGACTTGCTTATTTCAGCTAGCAGACAAAACTGTTGAAGCTCTATCGGGTGTTATTAGCACATCCTCGGCTCAGGTTACAGTTGTAATTGTGTATAGAAGCCCCGGGAGCGTATCCAAAAAGGTAGTTGACTTCATTCGTTCCCAGTCCGCAAACATGTGTTTGGTGATGGGTGAATTCAACCTCCCAGAGATTTGCTGGGCAGATCTTTCTTTCCACTCAGCGTCAGGCCCATTCGGCGCTGATTTGTTTGAGCTTACGCTCCAAGTATCTTTGCGTCAGTTCACTGACCTCCCACTAGGTACATGGACGCCCAAGTACCGTCTATCTTAGAACTTGTATTTGCTAAGTCACTCGCTTTTGTTGGTGACATTACTTACGGACCTCCACTGAGTTCCAGTAATCATATTTGTCTGCTCTTCAGTTGCACTCTGTCTAGACACTACCAGGGTACTGTTGAGTCTCGTCCGAACATATGGCACGCAGACTATCAATCAATGAGAGCCAAGGCTTCGGGTTTCCATTGTGAGATCTCAGACGACGATACTGTCCAGGTTGCCTGGGATAAATTTAAGTCTTACCTTACAGAGGACTCTGCTCCCTTCATCCCAGTCACAAGGAGAAAGGAGGCACGATCACAGCCGCCCTGGATAGATCCCACTGGCAGGCATCTGCTCACAAAGAGGTCTACATGTTGGCGGACTTACCGAGATGTTCCGTCCACCGATACTTATGACAGGTACCGTAAGGCTAGAAATAGGTGTAAGCAACACCCAAGGGATGCTCGGCTCAATTTCGAGAAAGGATTAGCGGACGAAGCTTCAGAGAATACAAAAAGATTCTTCGCTTATGTCAAAAGGCGCTGCAGTCCAAACATGTCAATTCCAGTATTGATGCGTGATGACGGTACTCATGCGCATACGGACTATGGCAAGGCCTGCGTACTTAGTGGGCAATATGCGGCAGCGTTTGTAAGGGAAACTTCTTTGACAGGCGTTGAGCTGGTTTGCAAGATCCCAGAGGGTTCCGGACTATCTGAATTTATTGTAGCGGGGACGGAAGTTCGTAGGCTGTTACAAGGGCTGAACCCTTCTAAGGTCTCTGGGCCTGATTTAATTCACCCGAAACTATTGCATAAATTGGCTATGGAACTAAGTGGACCGCTCTCTATGGTGTTTCAGAAATCGCTTGCCAGTTGTGCATTGCCTTCCGAATGGAAGGAAGCTGTCATCTGTCCCATCTTCAAAAATGGGGACAGGGGTCTTCCTGCAAATTACAAGGCAGTTATCCTCACGAGTGTAGTAGTCAAACTCTTCGAGTAACTGGTGGGAGATTCTTTGGTGAGTCATCTGAGTAGATTTAATCTAAGCAATATACAACACGGATTCCGGAAGGGGTTTTTGTGTCTGACCAATCTATTGGTGGTTCGCGAAAGTTGGGCGGATGCACTGGATAACGGTTACGCACTGGATGTACTTTTTTCGACTTTTCGAAGGCATTTGACAAGGTACCCCATTTGAGGCGCTCGCAAAAGCTGACCTCCTACGGGGTATCTGGCCGCGTCCTACATTGGGTGACTGCCTTCTTGAAGGGGCCTGTCGTTTAGGCAGTCTGTCCTCAGTGGCGTACCGCAGGATTGCTGCTGTTCTCTATCTATGTGAATGACCCCGCGGAGCTTGAGGTACCATCGCTGCTATTTTGCTGATGACCTGAAGCTGTTGGAAATTGTCGATGTTCCTGGGGGGTTCCGAAGCTATTCGGCGAGCCTTAGATAAGCTTTGGGACTTGTCTACTTTATGGTTACTGCCCATAAATCAGGCAAAGTGTTCCGTTCTTCGAATTTGAGGAGGTTTTCCTCCTACGAAGTACTTAGTAGGTGGGGTCGAACTCCCCGTGTATCTAGCCAGGTTGACCTATGCGTCGTACACTCATCAGCTTTACACTCCGGCGACAACTGGAGGAAGGCCGCAAGCAGAGGTTTTGCGCATGTTGTGGTTAATCCGACGTTCTTTCGGAGTCTTGACGGGCGGCATCTTTACGAGACTGTTCTCGGCTTTCGTTCGGCCTCATCTGGAATACCGCGTCCAGGCTTGTCCGCCCTGCCTCGTCAGTGACAAAATGGAGCTAGAGAGGTTTTTACGAGTGGGTACTAGGTTAGTCGAGGGATTACGGGGACGGACGTACCCGAGCGTCTACTTAGTTTGAGAATGCTTTCAATGCACTACCGAAGGCTTAGAGGAGACCTAATCTTAACCTAAAGTATCTAAACTGGGAAGGTTGGTCCAGATTTATCTGAGCTATTCAGTCCCGCTAGATGGTTTGTTCTACGCGGTCACTCCTTGAAGCTGGACAAACCGCGGTCCGATCGGATTAAGGCGGAAATCCGGCTGTCAGGCACAGTCATCGAACGCTGGAACATGCTTCCGGAAAGTTTTATCAGGGAATCTACGGTTAAGGGTTTGAGCGGCAACTTGACACTCTTGGGTGGCAACACGAAACCTTTCCATTTTCCTGAGTAACTCGCATCTTCGTACCTCGATTTTCTTTTCTCTACTTTTCTTCACGCAGTGGTATTATTTTCTTATTTCAAGTGTACTTCCTTATTCTGTACCTTCGATTTCTCTTCTTATCCTTTGTTAACTTCACGTGCCTGCCACAGCAGGGGCTGATAGAGAAGGAAACGTGGGCATTGACTGGTTGGCCAGGGTGCGATACGGGAGTTTCGTTTTAGATTCATCAAGAAATTAGCACTTCATCAATTCCTGGCTCAACGACCCACTCAAAATGGAACACCCATGGGATTCTCCTATCGTTCCAGTCCCATCTGAACTTGAAGTGGAACTTGGAAATGTTACATCACACAATCTCATTGTTGATAATGGTTGGGTGGACTCTCCCATTTTCAGGTCGATTCTCACTCATCTGTATGCTGCTGTTCAGCTTGATTCTACATTCATCAGAATTAAAGGTATTACTGTGCATACCCTTCCAATGATAGGATATTGTAGTTTAGTGGTGTTAGATAAGCATTCTAACCCTGTCAAATGTAATTTTGTTGTCGTTTCTTAAGGCCCGTCTAGTCTCGGTCTTAAAATTATGCAGGCACCTATAATAAGTGTCACTTTTCTGTCACATGCTGATGCTGACGCTCAAATTCTTGGTTTACTGAATGATTATTCAGTAACATCTGGTGGAATGAAAATCCCGCCTGTTAAGTTGGAAGTAGTCGGTGGTCCAGTTGGATTAAGGAAACCTGTTCGCAAAGTCTTTGTGTCTCTCTGTGATGTAAGCACTATTGTCTAGTACAAATTTCACGATGGGCCACACCTATTGTTACACCGTTAAAGCCGGATGGACAAACACCGAGAGTTTGCAGCGATTACCGTATTACCCTGAATGCGAAGCTACTGCAAAGTAGTTGTGCAACGGAAGAACCTGCTTCTGTTCTTTCACGTCTGTATGGATCCAAGATTTTCTCGGTAGATTTAAAACATACATGTTGGCAGAAACCACTCA